GAACTAGAGCAAAAGGAGAGACAATAAGAGAAATGAGGAAAGAGCGGAAAAAATAATGAGAGATACTGCAATGGAGCTATTCTCTCCTATTTGTTTTGCTCTCCCTTTCACTGGCTGCTTATGCCATTTCAGCCTTCACTTCAGCGTCGGACGGGTGCAGTCCCTCCCCGGCTAAGTCGCTGTGCAGCAGGTGCAAAATTGCTGAGCGGAACAGCCGGCCGATTAAGGCCTTGTTGGGGCCGGTTGGGGCGGGCTGAGCCGGGCATCAGAGGTCGCGACCGGCCCAGCCGCTGAGTTATGAGGCCTGCCTTTGACATATTTAATTGCAGCCAATTACAAAATGCCGTCGCGCTGTGGATTGGCTGGCGGGCGGTGGGGCCAAAGGTGAGGCCGCTGGGCTGGGCGTGGCGACGAGCAGGACTATTCCAAGGAGCTTTATTGACCTGATTACACCCCAGAGTTATTGCCGCCGTGGCCTTGAGGGAGACACCCGGCCTCCACCAGCTCTACTGCGCTGCCGATGCGCCGTGGGCGGCAAAATAAATCCAAAGCGTCAGAAACTATCGATACCATCGGTACATTTTAAACGACTGTGTCGAGATGGATTTGTTGCCATTACTGTAGTAATTATATGTAAGCAGCAGGGCACTCTTTAAGTTCAGTATACACGAGGCGTCCGTGTTTTGCCTGGCAATCTCCCTTCCTCCCCCCTCCCCTTACATTTCTGCTCTCAGTTTACCTTGACAAAAAACAACTCAAAGGACACGGAAACGCAGAGTTGTCGACAGAAATAGTCCGCAGCCCTCGACAAGCCCCCGGGGCAGCGCGCGGCGCGGAGAAGCCCATGTCGCACCCGGTGTCTCTACTCCCGGCCGAGGACCGACAAGTACACACAGTGATCCGCTCCGCAACCCTCCACAGCGGGGAAATAATACTGCAGCAATACTAATAATGAATGACAACGGAATACACTCTTGACCCGACACGGTGAGGCTGTGTCTGTCAACGCCAGAAAAGAACACAAAAGCGGAAACGTGAAGCGGAGGGGAAGAGAGGGGGCTGTGGGGCGGGAGGACAAAAGGTATCGAGGACCATAGACTGGACTCATTAGCAGAGTCGTTATCAGAGAATCTCTGCCGGGTGCGAGAGAAAGGCAGTACAGCGAGAGAAGGGTGCGGAAAAACGATAGTGAGAGAACGTTACAGGGAAAAGCTAAACAAGAAAAACGGCTGCTTTGTAGCATCAAACCGCTCCCATGGCTTATAAGTTAAAGACCATCGCGGTTTCAAACCTGCTTTTTATGGAGATGAAAAAAAATGAAGCAACATTATGTAGGAAAAAGCGTAACTTGGCGACTCCAAAAGGATCGCCTAGATTGAGCAGCGAGGGAGACAACGGGGATTACTTTCGGTCGTCTTCACACCCCGCAGGGTGGCGCCGCGCGTCTGCACCCCAGCGATGGATAAGAAACAATGTGCTGTGGAGTACATTGACCGGAAGGAGAGCAGGTTGGCCGCGAGGCGCAACCGCAGCCAGATCTGGAGGACCGCCCGGCCGCCTGCCCATATGATATGACGGCGGCAGTTTTTAATTGTTTCCCGACTTCGTGTGCAAACAGTTCCGTGCATGGCGTGCAAATATTTCCCCAGCCCAGACCAAATATTTCCGCCACGACCGACCCAAACCTACAACGAGCTGGCCGGGCCGGCGTCGCGTGCAGAGAGATCCATACCGTGCGGCCGGCCGCGTGGGATGGAGAAAGGTTCGGTGGAATATTAAACCAGGGAAAGGAAGGTGGTAAAAGCACAAACTGGACAAAGTACCAAACCTAAACTTCGATTTACAGTCGCATAAATCATTAGGGGCCATTAACAAATGACGTCACGCTGTTTTTGACGACGTATGACCCCCCCCTCCCCCATATTGTCACATTTGGCACTCTTGGCACTATGTTGAATTTTGTTAACTTGTCAAAAGAGGCACTACCAAAAACAATGGTACGTTTCTTGACATAATCTGTAAGTATGTGTGTATAGTCGCAGTGCAAAATATCGAACACTAACACGGCGCCGGGAGAAGTGCTAGAGAGCCCTCGCAAACACCGGCTCCACCAGGAGGCCCGCCTTACAGCCCAGCTGGAGACCACCACCTGGAGGCATCCTGGAGGCCACATGGAGGCCGCCTATAGGCCCCCTCGCCCCTCCACCTGATTGTCGTTGAGCGATGGTCTGATCACTTATTCAAGCGGGCGGGGAGGATCCTATTGGCATGGCAAAGCCAGTCCAGAGACGCCCTTCCTCCCTCTCCTTAGCCCGCTGCGTTGGTACCACACAGGTACCCAGCGCGGACAGACCCCGCGTTACAAGGCAAGTTTATTTGATCCTGATTAATTTGCAATTCAAAACGTGATACTCTCCCTCTCCCCCAGACAGAGCCCACAGCCCACCCGGTATGCCCACTTACCTATCCGCTTCTCCGGGTCGCCGAAGGTGAGCTCGCTGACGGCGACGGGTGCGGAGCGGCCCTTGTCGTTGGCGGCCACGACAACCACCTTGAAGGTCACGTCCGGCTCCAGGTTCGACAGCAGGAAGACAGGCCGGTCGGTGGCATTGTAGCGCACCACGGGAACGGCGGAGGCCGCCGAGGCCGTGAAGAGCTCCAGGATGAAGTGCTGCGGCAGCCCGCCGTCCGGCCCAGCAAGGCACCAAACCTCCACCGAGCTGGAGGTCTGGTTAAGCAGCGTGCAGTTGCGGGGCTGCCCTGGCAGGCCTGCACAGAGCAGATACATTGCAATTAAAGTACTTTCATTCAGAGACTTCATACAAAATGGGAGAAAGACTCCCCTTTAATATGCATTCTGCTCTCTCCATTAACAACGATAAAAGAATTTGAATATAGCCATATGTGATTAATAAGAGCAGAGAGAGAAACGATGCAGGAGAGCGAAAAAAGGAGTAGGCGGGACTGGGAAGGAACAAAAAGACGAGCAGAGGGAGAGAGAAAGGAAGAGAGGATAGGGAGGGTGGAGAGAGAGTGAAAGAGAGCGCACTCCGCATCAGGTGAGCTGCGAAACGATTCGTCGATAGCAACGCGATGGCAACGGTGAGGAAACCCCTCGAATGGTCTGAGCGCCGTCTGTTTGGAGAGGCGCCTGCTCCCCGAGCACGCGCGGCGGGCGCTGAAGCCACAACAGTGTAGTGCCGCAGTAACGCCCCGAGACCGGGGGGACCGGAGGGGATGTTGGGCTCGCACTTTTATTTGCTCATTGAGGCAGAATGTTCCTGCGGATAGGTCAGAACGAGCCCGGCTCTCCCCGGCACCGCCGACCTAGAGACTAAGTGAGGCTTTGCGAGGCGGCGCGCTCGGCCAAGGGCGGTGGGCTACGGCAAGAGGTCGCTCCAAGCAAAGTTGGGCTTAGAACGAGTCCAACCTTCCACACTTCCGCCCAAAAAGTCGTGCCCGGAGTTTAGCCTGCATCGCAGGCGTCGTGGGCGCATCCGTCGGCCTGTCGCCTTACACGCTCGAACCTGTACGATCGTATTTCCGTTTTAAGACTTCGAACGATGACACTTTTGCGGGGTCACTTGGGAACAAGCGGAGCACGGATGCAGCACTGGTCTCGAGTTCCAACAGGCCGCCTTCCAGAGAGCGGGGCGAGGCGTGGCGTGGCGGGGCCCCCGGGGAGCCGTCCCGCGTCCAGCCTCCCACGTCCAGAAGGCCTGTAACGACCTGCACCCATGGGCATCACTTATTCCACCTCGGAAAGAAAACTTTTCCTCGCCTAACGCCCGGCTGGGCAAGACAGCGGCTCCGTCGGCTCTCCACCCGCCTTGGCAGGGTCTGGCGGGTCGGGCCGGCCGCTGCTCGGACGAGTGGGAGAGATGGAGAGAGGTCGGAGGCTGGAGCGCGCGCACACGCCCCTGGACCAGGAAAGTGGGTCATCCATACCCCGTGTAAGCATCTCCCGCGATGTTCCAGCCGCCCTCCCGGTGCGTCCGGTCCGTCCGGCCGGTCAGGCTGCCGGTCATTAGTCGTGTGTGAGGGGCCGGGCCGGGGCCCTAATGCCTGCCAGTTATGCCATGGTTTACTGCCGCACCCCGCGCGGCCCGGCGCAGGGTTCAGCGTGACACATTCCGTAAGTGCGGCCGCGCCCAGCCGAGTTACGAGGGTCCACCGCGGCCCCGCGGCCCCGCCACGCTGCGTTGAGCAGCAAACGGCCAGTTAAAATCCGCCAAACGAAACTCGCGCCAGCAGCGTCGGCGCAGGCTCTTAAAGACTATGGCGCTTTGAGCGTGTAATTTTAAGAGAAAATCGTATTCCAAAGCGCTAAGCGGCTCATCCCTTCCAGAGGGACGGAGAGGGAGCTAATGATGCGTGAGTAAGGCTCTCCATCACCCCGCCCCCTCCCCCACGGCCATCGCTCTGCCTTCCCTCTCGATCAGAGAATTAGCGCGTCGTTTTAAAACTCGACCTCACTGTTAATTTAGCCCCAGTACATCAGCGCAGACTGCACGGAGGCGTACACCATCGCCGCCAGCTGGCACACCGCGAAAATAAAAGGTTCGGCGCGCCACTTCACCAGCGGCCGTTATATTCCTTCCCCGCTTTTGGACACAACTTTGGGAGTCGCGGGGCGTTACGGCCGGCCGCCATGATGCCATAGACACTGTGCCGGTGCGTGATGGATACGGAGTATATTGCGGCCGTTAATGTCTGCGCCGTAAAACGGACCGGGGCATCATGAATCCGTAAACCTGTCGCACAGCAGCGGGCGAAAACGGCAGCGCAGCGCCCGGGGGGCGGGGGCAGCACGAGGCGAGGGGCACCCGCAGGCTCACCCGCGGGGCAACCTTCCCTCACCGCCACGCCCAACCTCACTCGCAAAATTTATTTAAAGAATAAAGTAAGGAGGTGGGCCGCAAGCACGGTCGGGCCTTTCTACAGATATATTAACCAATGTGACGTCACATCAATTCAATAACAGTGCCGTGTGGAGCGAAAGTTCTTTCTGTTGTTTTGCGAGATAAAAACTACTGTACTTTCTTTCTGTTTTCGCACGTCACGTTCTAAAACTTGGCGTTTCGTTCTATATTTTCTTTCAGACACTAAGGACGAAACTGAAACTTCTAAGTGATGTGTATGGCCTATCTATCCAGTGACAGTTGCTAGGGAACAGCAGCTCGCCCGGCACCGCCTGGCTCGGTACCAACTGCTGCTAGGTGGGCGGCCTATGGGCCTCTGGGTCAGGCCGGAAGGGGCTAAGTATGGTACTAGGGGCGGAACTAGACAGAAGGGGGAGGGGGTAAAGCCATGTTGTAACCCCTCTGGTAACGGGTGACATTGAAGGGGGCATACGGCTGCAAGGCATATTAGAGAGGTTGACCCCCCCCCTTCCCTCGCATCAGCTCCTACCCCCCACTGACACATACAAGCAAACGAGGTGGGACGGTAAAGGGTGGGGGGGGGGGCGTGGCCAGGGGAACTGCCAAGGTAGCTCTACACACTTTGCCCATATTATAGGGTATTAAGTTAGGAATAGATACATTTTTCATGCTACTACCGCGAATTTGATCGTAGAACTATCAATAATTTTTGATACAACTAAAACAATTAACTTTTAATAGGGTCAGTAACGCAGAGAGAACCAAGCATAATTAATACCTCGACGTTTTTCAACTTTAAGTAGTCGATGGGCGAGTTAATTTCACGTGTACACAAGATTCGCAGGATGCTTGTTTCCCAGTGATCCCGTCCCTTCCTTTCAACTCCTAGGGGTTTCTAGTAGCAGCGAGAAAGTACAAAAACTCCTGCATGTGGGCTAGACACAGAGCATCATCCCCCGCGCCTGCTCCGGCCGGCAGAGGCAAGCAGAGTGGCTCTGACCCGCAGTAGCCGCCCATCGGGCCGCCCACAGCCCGGGGCGCGCGCGAATAATGGTCTGAAGCGGACGGAGCGGGCGCCACCAAACTCGGCTCGAACTCCGCAGGCCGGGCCCTGGCGTACTGCTGCTGGACAACGGTGTCCTGCTGCTCGTCCCAGAGTCCTACCCGCCAAGGTCCCCGCTGCCGAGCTGCCCCGGGTCGGTGTCCCTTTGGCCCCGCCGCCGCCGCACGGAGAAAAATACCTTGGTTGCTTAACTAAAATGGTGTTCAATCTGCCCCCTGAGTCATAATCATTGAACGCGTCCTATCGTGCTGACTGGAGTGTTTGGTTGGAGTGTCTGAACGCTCAGCGAGCACGCTAGAACGTTCTAGGGTTATGACCGGGCAGATTGAACACCCTTTTAGTTACAGCAACCAAATTTTTCGGTCGTGGTGACTAAGCATTTTTCTCAGTGCAACCTTCCAGCCTAACTATACACACGAAAGGGAAAGATAAAAATAGTGGATCCGCAGTGGAATTGAAAGTGGGATTCAACTCGACGCACTTTGCATATATTTCAACTTGGTTCCGGGCGCTGCTCGGGCCGCCTCAGGATCTTTATTTCTCTTCCCTCCCTTCTCTCTCCGCCGAGGCGTCCGGCTGGTCCAGCCCCGGCCTCTGTGCCGCCCTCAGCGCCGGCCTAATAAGGAGCGGTCAATGAGGCCCAGCAGGCCGCGCCGCCGCGCCTTCCGGAGCCCCGGGAGGGGGCGGCTGGGGGCGGCCGGGGGCGGCCAGGGGCGGTTGAGGGGTGCATCTCATTCATAGCACCACCCCCAGGGTGTGTCGCCGGGCAGCGACCACGACAAAGGCGGCCATTGGAGAGAACGAGGAAGGAGGCTTAGTCAGAGGAAAGGAGGGAGGGGAGGGTTGCCCCGGGGTGCCCTTGCCCTATTGGAAACTGGTAGAGCATGAGGTCCAAGCGCCAGTGCACGGAACCTCAGAGTAGCTTTTCGGTTCGTCAGATTTAGGAAACAACTCCCATAATAATACGGTAGGTTTTTGGGATGTGACGATATTGGCGCGATTTATTCGCGACTCTTTGCTTTGATATGAATTGATGTAGCTGGGGCGCTTGCCCGTTCCTGGCATGTCGTACAGTACACAGTGCAGTACACACAGGGCACAGCGGACCGGACAGCTGAAGAGCACTGATGCCGACAGACTGGACAGACTCGTGTCCATCAAAAGAGGGAGGTGGGGGAAGTGGGCAATCCAGCAACAGACATTAGGAGATTCCGAGGAACTTCGAAAAATCCTGGTTTAAGAAACTTGCCCCCAACACAACATCACTTTCATCTTGCATCATACATCTTTAAAGGTGTGCCCTCGGCTGTGATGCCCCATGCTTAGGGACATGTCTGCAAGAATATTGAGAGGAAGGGGTAGAGAGAGATGTAGAGAGACAGAGAGTGGGGGGAGGGGGAGAGAGATAGTCCACGTTGCTCTATAGAGGGGTTGACAGTAGGAAGGAGGGGAGGAGGGGGTGTGGGAAGCTGCGCGCACCGTCGCACGGAGTAGGCGTGTTCGGACCCCAAACGTCCATCAGCCCATCAGTTGGAACACGACTAAGCTACTCTGGCAATCCCCCGTATCCCGGTCACCACCAGCCCGGCATGCGCCGTACAGCTGTGAACGAGTGACAAACGAGAGGAAAGTGCGGGGGAGTGACAAACGGGAGAGTGGCGAGGGGTGTACACTGTAGAACATATTGCCAAGTACGTCAGGTTGCTAGTATATTGTTTGAACTTTTTTGACATAAAACGCCTGCAACTGGGCAAAACGGACACACAGGGAGGGCGAAAGGAGTCCGTTGTGTGAACTTTGATCCAAGATCATATGTTAGACGA